GCAAAAACCTGACTTCTTTTTTTACTTTATTTATGTTTTCTCTAAATTGGAAGCCAAACTTTAAGAGTGTTTAGATGGAGAGGCAGCTGGATATTAGTGTTGTCTTGTCATGTCAATATCATATATTTGGACTCTTGACTTTGATATTCTTCTGCAATCTTGGCTTTCTTCTATTCTGTTTTCTGATTATCTACAAGCCAAGCCTCTACGAATCAAGGATGAAGAGCCGACCTCCCTTCACGTCCCCACACGACCACACCCACTTGTCTCCATGCATGTTAGAATTGAGATGCTTTTCATGTATTGTCTGTATGAACGCATTGGTTGAATGGTGGGCCCATGTCAATGTGCGTAAATGAGCTGTAAAATGCAAATTGATCTTTCGTTTGCTTGTTCTACTGTTAAAAAGGATCATAAAGAGATAATGCATTCTAAATTAATATAATTTATATAAGAGGAGGATTCGAACTTGGGTGTAAGAGGGCGGAACTCAATACTCGTAATTAATTGACTTAATCCACATATGCTATCGAAGTAGCATTTTTACTCGTAATTAACACCGCCTAGCAAGCGAGTTCCATATATTCTAGACTTAAAAAGGGTCATAATTGTTGAAATATAAGTGTAATTAGCTGAAATGTTCTGTTTAGGTTCTGTAAGTATGCTAGCTGAGTGTTTAAATATGAACCATTGAATCATAGTTCAATGGATGGCTAGGATCTTAAGCTGAGGTATGAGTGTTTGTATTTGCCATGTGTCTCTTATCTCATAGGGTAGAGGTTTGAATGGTTAGATTGAGCTGATGTAAGAGAGGAATGTTCTTATTCCTAACTGTTTCTATATCAAGCATGTAGTGTGCGTGTTTGAGTGTGGAATTGAAAAGTGAGATTACAGACTCACATTTTTTCTACCAATTTTTCATCTGCTCATTTTGAAATCTCTCTGTGTTCTTCATTTCTTCTCTAACTCCTGAGCTCCCTATTCTAAAATCCAAATCTGGAGTAGATAATAGTCTGCTATTTCAACAGTATCACCAGAAAAAACAAAACCCTCTTCAACATTACTGGAAACGTGTTTGAAGAGTCTAATCTGATTGATTGTTAGATCCTGAACCTCATCAATATATACAAAATCCATTTCATGACCCTTGTACTTTTCACGTCTGAGTCGACGGTGAATATCATTAACAAAATCAGTGACATCAAATTCAACATCTTTCTTTTTCTTTTTTTCATAAACCAGAAATATATCATATATCATCTCCCTCTTCTCCTTGCTTAGATTTGACGCCCGGCACTCTGAAAGTTGGACATAATCTCCTCGACTGAGTTTTCCATCACCTGCTTCTGTGACTCCCAGGCCGCCTTTGATATGAGAGATAATCTCTGTAAATACTTTAGAAGGATCAAGCTTCTTTGTTAGCTGTATATTAAAATGAGGCCAATAAGAGGTGCTGAACCTCGCAAGATTGACCTCCTTTTGTCTGAGAACCGTCTGCAGCGCAACTGATCTTGAACTTGGCCAAGGTTCTGAGGTGTCAAGGAATCTTTCAAAGAATGAGTTACCTAAGGTTCCATCAAGCATCATCAAGAACTTATGGAATGTTATGAAAAGAGGATAACAGTTGGGCGGAATATCAAGAAAAGAATCTGGGATATTGTTGAACTGGGCTTCTTCATCCTCAAAATCAATGCTATCAGTTGAACTGCATTCACCTGAATGGTTTCCCCCAGAAGAAAAACTGAGGACATACAAGTTATGTTAATATCAATATATACAATTATTCATCTTCAAGTGGCACAAAAGAAGTTGACAATTAAAGAGCAATCTCATTGACATCAAGACCAAGAAAGAAGATGCAAACTTTAACCTAGATGACCAAGAAGCATGGTATTATAGTACACATACATGCATGAACAGTTAGTTTGAAGCTTCCATAATTTGTCCTCAGAGACAGAAAATACTAATGATATAATAAATCATTATAATGACTAGTTTTTTTCAAACGATTTTCCTTATATATAGCTCAAACATTAACTTACTAATTACACGTAGAACTTTCCTTATATATACAGGTACTATACTATAGTATTGTACATGTAGATACTAGGAAATAAATAGAAAGCAGCAATCTTTGCATCTAGCAGTGCACGTCATTCAGAAATTTTTTTTTCTTTTTCTAAACAGCTAATGTAAGAAGCAGCTAACATCTATTTGTCGAACAATCCTCGCACCTTTTCAAGTGTAAAACATGTTGCTTGACAGCAAAACAGAGTTTCGCACTCACTGTCACAAAAAGCTGGCGCAAGACACACATATTAGCACCAGCAGGACTCTGCTCAACCTCGTTATTATTCGGAAAAACATGCGAGAGTGCATTCTCAACACCATAGAATCCTTCCTCTGCAATACGTTGCTGCTGTTCTTTCTGACATAATTTCATTGTAAGAACTGTTGTCTTCCCGGTGCCTGAGCGTCCCAGTATAAATGTACTTCTATTATAACGGACGATCTCCATTTCTTGATCTGTAAGTTGAAAGGGGAGATCCAGTTCTCTACCTTCACTGTCAGACAGCAAGAAGTTTGCCACTCCAGATGATAAGGAGTAGAATTTCATCAGTAACAAACTCTCACTAACATTTGATTTCTCAACATAACTTCTATCTGCTGAAGAGTCACCAAGTAAATAACTTGGGGTTTTTTCGGTGATGCTTAAATCTTCAAACCGGGCAACATCCAGAGCGGGGGGCCAGCTGGCCGGAATTTCCAAATCACTGCTCATGAAAGACAAACCAGCAATAGTCACTACTACTTAAAAATCAAAATTTGAAGATGAAACATTTGTATCTTTATATGATTCCAAACAGGAAACACAGTATAATTTCAGGCAAGATCAATTCAGAAATACTAGGATGACAAACAACATACCCATCCAGACATTTCTCTCTGCAGAGACTGATAAAACCATCTGTGTATGTTTTAAATATACAGTCTAATTGATCAACTAATTTCTGGACGTTCAACAGATCAGGCAATATATCCCAGATCTTCAACACTTGCATGTATCTCCGATCTTTTTCAATGTCAGTTGTGCAAACAATATATATACCTTCGACCTTAAATTTCTTCCAGATCATCAAAGAGCTTTTACAAATCTTTTCTACATTTCTTTTCTTGGGTCTCCATCCACTCGAAAGCTTAAGCAGAAGAAACAGCAATGACATCTTCACTCGGAATGACTTCAGTTTTTTGAATGATTTCAAAAAGTTGTCACTGAAAAGGACCTGGGAAAATTCGGAGGATGAATATTGATAAGTGTCATCGCAAATGTTTGGAAAATAAGAGGAGAAAAAAGAAAGAGGATTAAAAACATAAGTCTGAGAAAACAAAATTGTACCTTCCATCTAGCACTTTTGTTATTGTCGATTGCTTTCCATATTCTGATGTTAGGAGTTATATTAATTAAGAAAACCATAAGGAGAGATGCCTGAATGCCATTGGAGACTTGAAGCTCTTTCGATGCTTTAACTTTAAAAGAACGATTGGACACTTCAGTGACTATCAGAAATGCCCATGATTTCTTTGACTCCTGTATATCTGAAATACTTTCGGGTTTAGCATCTGACAGTAAAAAAACATGTCCAGGCAGAGTTTTATATGGTTCCTTGCAGGAATCACTGGACATGTTTCTCCAGTAATCAACCTCGACATCATATAGCTTTTTTCCATATGGCTTCGATTCTTCTATAGCAGTTACTTCACCGAATGGTGCTCTGTCCAGAGTTTCCATACTGGAATGTAACTGAGCTCGAGTTTCGTCTAGTAATGGATACGAAAAAGACCCAAAATAATTCTGAACCGAATGCAATGATTCAGTATCAAATCAAATAATAAATGTCAGTCCTTAAGTAGAAGCAAGAGTGCTAGCAGCCACATGATAGTGTCGCAAATGAAATATTTTGTACATAAGCTCATAAAATTTAAAGCACAGAAGAAGATTATCATGTGTAATTCAGATCATGATGTTTTCAGAAGCATGCATACTTTATATTCAAATCTGGATAAAGATTAAATCAACCTTATCAGTGAACAAATGCATAAAGAATTCATTGCAAAATTTAAGTAGTAATTGGTTCCGATTTATACAAAGTTAATCATATTCTTGCATTACTTAGTTGAAGACACATGCATCCTAGCAAAACGTAAACGCATTATAAGTACGAAACACAAACATTTTCCACTTTCCCTATTTTTTTTTCATCGGTATGTTACCGAAAAACCTAACGTTTTCCAACATTAGGTTGTAGTTGCAGTGTTCTAGTACCACACAATAATTTCTCTTTCAGAGTCAAGAACCACTAAAGAATTAAAGTAGGCTACATGAGCAATTAGACTAATGAACTCCTACTTAATGAATTGTTGATGAAACAAAACAAAGCGAAAGATGACAATTTGGGAGATTATATAGCAATTGAATACCTTGAGCTTGTAAAGATTGTCGCTAACAATATCTTCAAGAGACCAAGAAAGCAAAATGTCGGTGAAGCTATCATTCTCAGAACCTTCCATCATGTCGTCACACTGCATATACTTCGATCAAACATATTATACAACGATATATGTGATGTAACTTCTACTCTCTTTTTTTTAACTTTGTTTTCTTTCGTAGATCCTCTTTTAAAACTGGTTCATTACATGCATGTAAAGATTAAACTCATGCATGTCAGATCAGAGAGAGTACTGGGTAAGCAGAAAATAAAAGGAAAAAGAAAAATCAGAGAAAATGTGTCTTACATGAATCAAGAACGATAATCTGACGCAGCTTCTTCTTCTTCTTTTTTCTTGAAAAAACTGTGTTTTCTTTTGTTTGTTCTTTTCTTTTTCCTTCAGTTTCTTCAATTGCTGTTCAAGTTTTTGTTAATTGGAATTATTAATTAGCTAGTAATTAGAAGTGCTCAGCCTTGGTGAACGTGAAGAAGTGGAAAAGTTGGATGAGAAAAGTCTGACAAAATACGTGGAGAAGTTGAAGGGGTTTTAGTTTTTGGTCTACGACACGTTGGCCATGTTATGCCATGCGACTCCTGTTCTTCTACTTTGTGCTATGCTGCAGCATCAGTTCGGTATGGGATTTTAATTACACAAACATTCCAATGGTTTTAAATTGTTTTCACAAAATTCCTTTTTGTTGATTTTTATCCAAAAATTGATGATTTTATATAAGAAATTTCTTTAAATGACAAAGCTAGCCTATGATATTATATTTCAATACATTCATTAAGGTTAATTTTGTCATTTGCATAAGTTTTTTAATATGAAATCATCAATTTTTGGAAGAACAATCAACGAAAACGGGTTTTGTGAAAATAATTTGAAACCTCAGGGGGCGTTCGTGTAGTTTTTAAAACCTCAAGGAGTTTATTGAAAATACTGACACGCTTAGGGGGTGTAATGTAAATAACTCAAAATAATAATCCCTCTCTTATTAATGAAATCAATTAAGTATTCCTCATAAAACAATAGTTTACATGAGTGTTCGAAACAGAAGACAACCAGCACAATTGCTATGAGATTTTGCGTAATGCAATCCTTGGATTAAAGTCAAAAAAATTTCAACAAAACTATATATCTATTAATACATTAATAAACAATCTGATTGTTGAATCGAAGTGAAGCAGCTACTCTATTACACTCGAACTTCCTCAATCAAATTATCGTTGCAGTCCATACTCAAGCTTAACTGATTGCACTACTTGAAAATAATTACAAAACAGAGGATGTGAACCATAAACGTGCATAATATATGTAGAACCATTTGATGGAAAACGTTTGATACACATACACTGACTTGAAATCATGGCACCCGTTGGAGAACAACCAATGTGGGACTAAGGAAAACCTTAGTTTTCTATTCAAACTTGAACAACACACCTACCATTTTATGAAATCCAAACCAACTAGTGCCACCAATATGCAGAGTATTCAGGTCATATTGCAATCAAACCCAATAACCACCCAACAAATTTCAAGTGATCAAATCCTAAAACAAGTCTAGAATCCACAGTTGTACCTATTGCCTAAATTAAGTACAAATGCCTCTCTTATTGCCTCTCATGCCTAAGCTTTCAATGAGAGACCGAGAGTACATTCAAGTGGATGCATTTACATTTTCCAAATACATAAAAATGTTAAAGTGGCCTCTTTAAGAACAAAACTCAACATTTTGGATGAAGATCCAACCTCGTCAATAAATGTCAAAGAATCAGAATTACCATTGACGTGTAGATCATGGTTAGGTCAGTTGACCAGAGCAATGAGTTCACCCCCTTGCAAACGTGGATTAACTATCTATCTTTTTTTTTATATAAATGAAAACGAAAACAAAATATACCCCGTTCTAGTTAATAGTTTCTTTTTATAGAAAATTTGGCATAAGTACAATTATGGTGAGAGATGTTGGGTGCAATCCACACAGAAGTTGTTATTTATCTAAGTCATTTGACTATTGCCTTTTTTCATTTATTGATGTTTACAGTTTTTTTAAATTATTATATTGTTTCAATTATGCCCCTAAAACATGAATAGGGTAAATTATGAATTTATAAAATCGGTAAGTTATTGATTTATAGGACATTAATTATCATAATTTATTTAAATTTAATTGCATATCTATTTATTTACAAATGGAAAATGCACAAATTTATCAAATGTAGGTGGAGACATGATTTTTTTTTTTCAAAAACCCTAAACTCTCTCTGAAGGTGAAACTGTGAGCTTGCACTGTAGCCCCCCTCCCCCCCAGGGGGTAGTGGCTTCCCCATCTTCCATCTTTCTCTCCTTTTCTCTCCCCATATTAGTTTGGATTTTGGGTCCTCTTGCCCAGATCTATCTGGATCTTGTCCTTTGTTTGTTTGTTTGTGTGTTTTCTGTTGTAAGTCCTTGGTGACTTTTGTTGTTCTTGGATGTATCTTGCTATCGCTAGGATGGCTGTGGTGTGGTGTTGTCGACCCAGCTTTTTTCTTTGGTTTTCATTATGTTTTTTAAGCAAGTACTGCAATCCACTATATACGCCATGATTTTGTTGCAGCTTTTGGTCCACTCACATGGATTTTGCTCCAGTTCAGTATTTGGAGTTGGAAAAGTGATTGTTGTCGGTTTGTGTGGGATTGGGTTTTGCCTGTGCAAAATAAGGGGTTTAGCCATGTTGGTGCTATGAGTCTCTTTGGTTTGCTGGAGAGGATGTGGTGCGGTGTCCTTGTTTCTGTGTTTATTTTAGTCTAATAATTCTCAGAAACTCAATAGGAGTTTGCAGATGTTTGTATTTAGTGTTCAACTTTTTGATGCAGATTTGTCGTTATTGTCGTTGCGCGGTGGATCTATATTGCAGGTCTGAGTACAGGTGCTTTTGTCTGTTGAATTGGAGGTTTTAGGTTTTTCTAGCATGCATAATTCTCTCCGGATCAAATCAATTTATTTTTGTGTTTGGTCACTGGAGATGTTTTACTCATATTTGGCATTACAGCTACTCTGTACTTTTTTATGTGTTATGAATAAAATTACTATCGCTTTTAATCCCAAAAAAAAGGTGGAGACATGATTTATGAGATGTGTCTGGTACAAATTTGTAGGTGGACACGTGATTTTGGCATAGTGAAATAACACAAAACTATATCCAAAATTGTAAAGATGCCTCTTTCCGAGGTATACCAACCTCAAAATTTGTAATCGGAATTCATGGAAACTTCATACCTTAACAATAGGTAAGATACCTATGCATACACCTCTTGTGCAAGTAATTAAACCCGTAAAAAACCTCTAGGCCATGTAATTAAATCGTCGGTAATTAAACCCAAAAGCCAACTCTTGTCCGCATAGTTATACCCATAAATTGCCTATGGTCCAGGTAATTAAACTCATATATTACTTTGGTATGGATCTTTAAACTCATAATTAAAGTAAAAAAGTACATACCTATCTAAAAGGTTACAGAAAAAGGAAAAAGAAACTCACACCTCCACAACTCACACATGAGTATATTGAGATAAAACTCCATAAAAGTTGGTTTGGAAAATCCAATAAAAAAAACTATTACCTGGAAGGCAGGTGTGTGTGTGTATCAACTCCATAAAAAAAACTTCTTAACAAAACTCAAGAAAATAAGGAAACGCATTATATATAGAAAAGCTTTATATAAGGAAAGACACATATACACAAAACAAGGAAACGGTGAATTTTAAGGAATTGTTTTCATAGACTTCCATTTATGATAATGGCATATACTGTAAATTCCTTAAAAATTATGGACATACTAATTGCTTACTTTGTTAGACTGGACTGCAATTGAAAAGAGAGAGCATGTGGACTACATTGATTAGATCTAGATGAAAATGGACCTATATCTAAGAAGTCCTTTTTCTTTTTAGTACAAACGATTGGGGAAGTGGGTTTATACAAATATTCATTGGGGGCATGGGGGTTTCGAACCTCTGCCCATATAAGTGGAGGTGAAAGAGCTCAACCAACTTAGTTATACCCCAATGACAGTGCATAGTTAAGTCAACAACAAGTCTACCACTATGTTTTCTTATGTATCCCATGGAAATAAATAATGATCATCCAATTGAAATTCATTTGGCATAGAAAACGGATCCAATACAATTAAGTCTACCGCAAGTCTACCACCATCACCATGCTTATTTCAGAGAGGCACCCACGCACCAGCTTTTCGAATGACTATTTCCATGTAAACAAATTCAACAGAAAATAGAAAGTTTAGTACAAAAGGATGTCGTGTTTGTCAATTTATAGGAATTTTCTTCCCACCTTGGAAAAGTGGTGGCGGTTCAAATCCATTTCTGATGTATATATATTGTTTTCTAATTAGTCTCCCTCCTTTGTAGGCTCTATATCTAACTAAGAAGAAGTCAAGGTAGCTCTCAATGAAAAATAAAATCATACGATAACAGTTGCATTAATCATCAAAAATATTGTTTACATCTGTTGTTAATTAATGAGGAGAACAGCCAAAATGGTGGCCATTCAGCCCACTCACTAACACCACTGAATTTACTTGCATGGGATGCTACCAAATGAGGGGAGGAGATTTTTCACACACACACTACAATGGTTCTATTGGGGTTCGAACCTGAAACCACTAGTCTACAAGTCAATGTCATTTTTCGCTGGACTAAATTCCGTTGACACAATTGTTATTGTTGCTTGTCATGTTGCATGATTACTTGGATAGAGGAATATTTTCTTGTGAAACAATATAACCACTTGTTATGTTCTTTATGTAGATGATTGGTTAATTGGATTCTTATTGATTTTAATGTATGGTTAATTAAGCATGGAAGTTTTCGCTGTAATAATGGGTGATGTAATAGCTAATAATTACCAGCTTGGTGACCAAGACGGTGCTGTGGCCGTGGGCTTCGGGGGTTGGATCTGGTATTGCATTTGGGTTGTGTCCTTGACAGATTTGGAGCTTGGGGCTCATCAAAGAGAGAGAGAGAGAGAGAGAGAGAGAGAGAGGACCTACCCCCACCCCAACCATCAGCACTTAACGCCTCCTC